AGATAATTTTATTTGGGTCAACCGAAAAAAAGAAGATATTTTGACATGCTGCGTGACTGTGTAAACAAAACTACGTCCAATAATAATGACGCTTTCACGTAACACATTTGCGACTTTGTATGACTTGCTTGAAATTCCAAAGACGAGAATCAAGTGTCGGCCTGAATTTTGTTGTCCCTAAACCATGGAGCTTCGTTTCGTCAGTGATTGCTAGCAATGACTTAAAGTATTTGTTCGTTGTCGATATTTTTGGCGTCGTGATGAGAATTTTCTTAGCGATTATTTACAACTGATGTACTGGGTAATTTGTAATGACAATCAACAGAGTATATTTCACCATGGACGTACTGGAGATTTCACACGTCTTTTGTACAACCACGGTTGACACCATGACTGCACATCTGGCGGATATCCCGATTGCTTATACCATGGATGTAAATGCTTATACATGTACATTGTATTTACGTGATAGATGTGTGAAAATATACCTTTGTTGAGAGAGTGACGTAAAAATCGGGCGGTGTCATCACCGGACGAACTAATTGAATACAAACAATAGACTGACTGGACAGATGGCCGAACTAAACGAATACATTTTAAAATTAACCATGACGCAAAAAATAGGTGGCCGAACTATTTGAGTGGCCGAATTGATTGAGCTTTTACGGTAATTTGATAATCTTATTAATGTAGTAGCCTGCATGCTTAACTTACACATTTAAACCATTTTTTTTTTTCACAAGATTACTTTCTCTAAACGTTTTTGCAAATTTTTAATCAACAATTCATTCGTAACAGACAAAATATTATTCCTTTGGAGAACCAATGATACGTGCAAAGACTGATTGGCGTTGAATTTATGGTACGTACCAGTAATTCCCATGAGAATCTTTGCATTTCATACTACTCATATAGTTGTCTTTGCATACTAATTTACATAATACTAAATCATAATTATCAGCACAAAGGGAGCGATACGCATAAACATGAATGACATAGTTTTCCAACCATAGTTTTCATGCTTAAAAGGTCCTCTGGAGAACACTTAGCTAGGCAGTGGAAACAATTTTCACCTTAAATCACTTTTTGGTCTTAATTGCCATCTTTTTATTTTTATTCCACTTTGTGCATGTTTCAAAAGTGGACACACGGAACAGTGATTTACATCATGTTATACAAAGTACATGACATGAATTTTAACCAAACCTATACCAGGAGCAAGTAAATAACACGTTAAATCAAAGTAAACACGTACTGCATGCGCAACTCGAACAGGCGCTCAACTCGAACAGGCGCGCAACTCGAACAGGCGCGCAACTCGAACAGGCGCTCAACTCGAACAGGCGCTCAACTCGAACAGGCGCTCAACTCGAACAGGCGCGCAACTCGAACAGGCGCGCAACTCGAACAGGCGCTCAACTCGAACAGGCGCTCATGTAAGGCATAATTCTATACCAGGAGCAGCTATGTTTACGTACTTACCATTTCAACTTTTCCATTCTCGATTTGTATCTTTCCTCGACTTCTGATTGGATGTCTGGATTGCGTATATCAGCTCGTTGTTGTGTTGTCAGTTGCCTAGCGGCTTGAACAATAAACTTGTGGTACTTTGCCATGTCCTTTTCTCTTTTAGCTTTTTCAGCCCTGAAAACAAGATATTGTTGTTATAATCTTGAAATAGATTAGGAGTACTAAAAAACCAATAATACCACTCACTGGATTGAAACTATTACAAAATGTGAAGACGTAATTTCTAAGTCGCTTACTTTATGATAATGAGAGCTTGTCTGGGACGTCTCGGCGACTTGGGTGATTTCGGAGTCTTCCTTTCTTCAACTTTCATTCCCTTCTTTTTAGCAATATCAAATAACGTCACTTGCACCTTCTAAGAAGACGCACACATATATTATTACCATACTTAAAGATCATATTCAATACATGGCTGAATTCTGGACAGTTAAAAATTTTTCCTTTGAGAAAACTATCAAATAACATGCATAAAATGACAATTTAGCAGCAGTTTCCATAGACAATGAAAACAGTTTGCCATCAAAAACGATGTCAATTTATATAAAACTTCTAGACAAAAACAAATAGATCATAAGACAATATTTATCATTTTTTTTAACCGTATGTCAATGAACAAAATTTTAAGACATTGAAATGTATCCTTGCCATAGGAAACAATTGTCAAATGCCCTAAAACAGACTAAACATGCTATTTTCACTTTATTTCTACGGTGATTTTCTCTGAGCAAACTTCAATGATTCCATATTTTGATATCATCTTAATCCTAGCAGTATGTCACAAATGCAAGAATAAAGAAAATGACATTATTCTCACTTCTTACTCAACTACCTGTTCTTTATATATACCGGTATGTCATGATCTATTCATGTTAAAACTATCTTACCTTCCCTCTCAATGGCTTCTGTGGTGATTTTGACGGTGATTTCTTGGGAGATCGTTTGGATGAATCTTTATTCTGAGACCGACCAACATTCTTCTCTTTTTTCTTTGTTTTCTTCTCATCCTTATCGTTTTTAAGTTTAATTGATTTTCCTTTTGTTTTCTTTTTGTCATCTTTTTTGGCATCTGCCTTTTTCTTTTTTAAATCTTTTGTTTTCTTTTTTGGAGTTGAGTTCTTTGATGAAGTGTTGCTTTTTGTTGGTGAGCCAGATTTGATAGCTTTCTCCTCAATCTTCTTCTTCAGAGCACTCAGAGGTTGGGACTCGCATTCAGAATCAGAGCTCGATTCTGAACTGGAGCTAATGTCGATAATAGTTTGACTAGACTGTTTTGGGGGAGAACGTGCAATTTTTTTCCCACTTTTGCCAGGGGAACTGAATTTTTTTATAGAGGTAGATGGCACTGTCGGTTTGCTTTTCTTTTTATTTGATTCATTTGAACTATTAGATTTCTTCTTCAACTTAGTGTCCGATACTTTCGCCTTCTTTGATGGTTTGGGACTACTAGTCGAAGTTAGTGATTTTCTTTTTCCAAGACCGCCAGTCGGTGATATCTATCAAATGAGATGAAAACAGAAAGGAATCAAAAAGATTAGCTTTCAGGAAAATGATAATCAAAAGATAGAAAGAAAACATCATGCACAAAATAGTTATTAGTATTAACAACCACCCTGTTTTCAGAGTTTGTGCCCTACTAAGATAACACCCTATTTCCAAATTAAATTTGTACCCTCGGGTCATTGCTAAAACTTTATTGGATACTTAGAACTACATTACGTACGCATGATGTGAAAAATTTATTAGTCTGAATTACAAGAAGTTTATTCTAAAACATTTATCAAAGTTTCCATAATTTTTAACGTGTCTGTGATTATCTCATTATCATTTTATTGGTTGTTAAAATTTCATTTACTAAGTGTTTTTTAATAACGTTGATACACATTGGTTTCATAAATATTTGCATCTGTACCAAAGACGAATTGAGTTGATTCTTTGAATATTTCATGCATAATAATAAGAGTATCAAATATTTTACATAATAGTCCCAAGATCCCAAATAAAACTTCATGCAAATATATACAATATAATGCTAATATGCGAATCACTATCCAAAAATATGCTAATTTACATGATCACTATGCAAGATTATGCTAATGTAACTGATTACTATGCAATATTATGTTTCGATCACTATACAAAAGTATGCTAATGTGCTAATTATGCTAATGTGACTGATTACTATGCAAAATTATGCTAATGTAACTGATCACTATGCAAAATTATGTTTGGATCACTATACAAAATTATGCCAATGTAACTGATTACCAGGTACTATGCAATATTATCTTTCGATCACTATACAAAATTATGCTAATGTGACTGATTACTATGCAAAATTATGTCCCAAGATCCCAAATAAAACTTCATGCAAATATATACAATATAATGCTAATATGCGAATCACTATCCAAAAATATGCTAATTTACATGATCACTATGCAAGATTATGCTAATGTAACTGATTACTATGCAATATTATGTTTCGATCACTATACAAAAGTATGCTAATGTGACTGATTACTATGCAAAATTATGTTTGGATCACTATACAAAATTATGCTAATGTGACTGATTACTATGCAAAATTATGCTAATGTAACTGATCACTATGCAAAATTATGTTTGGATCACTATACAAAATTATGCCAATGTAACTGATTACCAGGTACTATGCAATATTATCTTTCGATCACTATACAAAATTATGCTAATGTGACTGATTACTATGCAAAATTATGCTAATGTTACTGATCACTATACAAAATTATGATAATGATTCATTCAATATGCAAAATTATGATATTCACTGGCATTTATTGTCAAGCAGCAAGAAAACAATGTTATTGTTATTTTACATGTTCACAGATTTAATTCAGCGGATTTTACTTATCAGTGAAAATAGCAAAATTAAAAATCAAAGAAAGCTTAGAAAGAACTCCCGTGTGCTGAGAGTATTAAAGACACATTAAAAATTAATTAAAAATTACTTGTACATGAGATATTGATGGAAAAGCTGAAAACTAATTATGTAAATCAGGTAACTAAGGGGAGAGTAGGAAATCAAACGGGCGGTTCACCGCGGTAATCACCGCGGTACACTGGGGAGAGCCGCGGACTGCTTATAATTAGGGGTCTCTACCGTGATGGCCATCGGTACCGGTTGCAACCGCGGTCGTAGGAAAGGTGTGAAATCCGTACTTAACAGTTTCCTTTGTGATTCCATGGGTCTTTGTTTTAAATAGCTGTTTTTAAATCGAGCAGGTTACGAGCATCGCTGGCATGGAAATACTAAGTATATGGTAATATTATCGGCTCACATATTTTATTAAGGCCACACTGATTTAATTTTATGGATGACATCCTCTGAAGACCCCAAAACTAATGCGAGAGGGCGAAAAAAAAAATTTGGCCCAAAAAAAAATGCTGCTAAAACCACAGGACTACGGAGCTATTATTACGAATTTAACCACAGTGTTTCAAAAAAAACAACAAGTCTTTAATTGTAGGAGGCACATGCTGATGTACACATTTCGTACTGTATTACTGTCACAGGTATCATCACCTTTGATTTTGAAAAGGCAATAGGGTAAGGCAGATGTTAGCTTTGCCAAAGGCATATACATCAACTCAATAATAAAGAAAAACTTACTGTGTTGTATTGAAAAAAAAATAATTAAAAATGAACAATAAGTTTGTCAACAGCAACCTGGAAATTAACTTCGTTGACATTCAAACTACAGCTTTTAAAGTGACATTTCAGATAGACTAAGTGTAGACACAAATGCTCAAGAACTACTTCAACTCTGTAACAAATTATAAGAGGCTCGATATTGAAAAAAAAACACCAACAGAGAGTCAACAAAAATTTGGATGCAGAAAATTATGTACATGTATCTTGATGAAAATGCGTCATATGATCAAAATATTACTGAACGTGCAAGCAAATTATCCGAATCAGAAAATGAAAAAAAAAATATTCTTTACCCCGTAAGGGGACTTCGGCCAAGGAGCTTCTGCTGCTTTCGTTGCAGTTTTGTCGACTTCAATGTGGACAAAGCAAACGAAATGATTTGTCGCCTGACCGACTTTTAGGCCACCATACACCTCCACTCCTCTCCCATTTCTCTCGACATTGTAGAAGAAATGCGGGACAGCCACTCTGGACAATATGTTCTCAAAGTTGTCTGGGCGGAACTCGCTTGCCGCTACCGACCTCTCGTATAGCTGTAAAAACGTCTCCCTGGCCAATGTCAATTGCGTACCAGTCTACAACAATCCCTCCGTTTCATCTCTGAACTTTTATGCTCACGTATTTTGGTGGTGTGGTCGCCATGTTGGATCATTTATGGCAAAATTTGCATGTTTTGAGGCAATTTCTTTCCCATAGCTCTTTGCGCTTCACGTAACGCGCATCTAACTGTGTTGAGTTTGGTTTTGAGGTTGGCTGGTTCCCGCCTCAAGTGTCATGGCGTCTCAAGTGTCATGGCGTACCAAGCCACAAGAGGCCGGTAACTAGTAATGAATCCGGCATTCTGATTGGTCCGTCACTTTCTCGTTGCTTGTTCCATTTCCCTTGGTTACCTGACAGCAGCGCTTACGCTCGTGGCCGTTCAGGGGTTTCCTTTTACTTTCGAAAGTTGGGTGAATAAAAAACTGTTTCTTTTGTTATAAATTTTCACAGAAACAGCGAGAAATGTCAGAAACATCTCAAATGTGTAAATCTAAGCAGGCAGTATGTTTGAGCATGGCTTTATTGTAATATTATAAACATGTTTACGCAGAACGGAACTTGGAATGTTTTCAAATTATGTCACTCAGTCACGTGCCTTCCGGCCGGAAAACCGGCCCAAATGGAACAATATGGCGATTACAAGTTACCTGCGTCCTACCTACCATTCGCAAAAGATGCCGGGAACCAGCGAAGTTTTGAGGTAGTCAAAAACGAGTTTTACGACCAGTCAGCGCTTTGCAAGTTTCGGACAGATAACCGATCTGTGGAGACTCGTCGTAGGAGATTTTTTTTAAATTTTTTTATTTTTGAGAACAGGCGAAAACTAATGCGCGCGCGGATGTCATCCATAAAATTAAATTGGTGTAGCCTAATATAAAAATTCACAAGTCCAATGCTGTATACGAATTGTTGTTGCGTGAAACAATGTTGTATTTTATGCATGTATTTATCACCAATTCCAAGAGTAAAAGTCGTAACTTTCGAAGGTACGAGTATTATGACTCGTCCATACATTGCACTTACGTTTGTTACACTTGAATAAAGTCTACCACATGAAAAGAATGTTATTTACGAAGTTTTAAATAGCCGAGCCTTCCTGATTCGAGCC